TGAAGACCTGAGTAATTGTCCACAACTTTTGCTCAACCTTGGCCAACTAAGACAGTCGATATGCTTCAAAAATCTTTTTGTGCCTGGCGTGTGCTGTCCAAGAAAGTCATCCGAACAGTGAGTTTTTTAATCAATGATATTGCTCTTAATAAAACTTCAATAACCAAGAAATATCATACTCGTTCATCGTACACTTGGAGTTGCATTAAGATTTGATTCACATTTAATGCCGTGATTTTAAAGAGAATTAACTGAACAATTTTAAAATAAGTTCACCAATAGTAAACAAATATTTTTGAAAATGTATTTTTATAACGAATATTCGGAGAAAACGTATCAAGTTTCTTGACACGTCTCATAGTTATTCATCTCAGACATTCACTAACAACTCCAAAAAGATTAGCCAACATGCTCGTTGACTGTTCAGCTTTTGATTACTATTATTTTTTATTTTTTTGGAAATCATCACGTCAATATTTTGCGAGAGTACCGTTATAACATAGCGTACAATAGAAAGTAATGTAAAATATAAAGCAAAAAGTGTTTTCATACTATCTCTAGCGTTCACATAATATTGTATTGTTTACACCACTGTCTTATCCACTTGCTTTACTCGAACGTTAAACTTAATTGCCAATGACCTTGTCGGTCTCGCCATAACCCATGCTGCATTATTAGTTGTGCGCAGTATATCTACAATCATTTTGAACTAATCGTGATTTAATAAACACGTGTAAATCACGAGAGGAGAAGGTAAAACCTGGACAATGACATCCGCCGAAAAATCGTGTAGTCCCTTTCGGTTTTAACCGCTTTTGCGCTCTATTTAACCCGATCACTTGGTCTTTCGTTTGTTGATTACATCTGCTTGAGCAATCGCCTAATCAAACATCGATTTTCACTTTTGATTTTCACGCAAAGACTCCGTCGGTTGCATATATTACCACGTCCTATTCAAAATGACAGGTTTTCAAAAATGGAAAAAACGACTTACTATGATAATTCGACGAGTATCTTTTGTGAGAAGTGCAAGTGAAACTCTCATTTTAAAATTTATTGTACCCATGTATAATATGTTAATGCAAAGTAGTTCAACACAAAATAACAACGCACTTCCGCAGTCGTTTTTTAGTGTCAAAACCATTTTTTTCTACTCTACTAGCTGTTACATGCATCTCGTGTCAAAAGAAAATTCTTTAATCCGTTCCGCAGTCAACTTGATGTTCAATAATAAATTAAGAACAATAACGTTATGGAATTCTACCAATTTTGTATGCGTGATATAATATTTCGTCCAATGGACACCTAATTTCGCATAGAGAAATTCTGCTTTTTTATAAATATGCCAAAAAATATTTATCATTTTGATGTTTTATCGATTGTAATTTTGCGGTAGTTTGCCAAAAATGGAAAGAAGTATTTGCAGATAGTATTTAGCCACGAACTCGTCGCGGTTGAAAATAATGAAAGTGCACTGGTTTTATGGTTTAATCAATTATTTCATTTGAAATTTTGTAATCTGAATTGAACTTTTAAAAATCAACTTCAATGCACAAATTTAAAACAATTTTATTTTTTGCTCTAAATTTTATTATTTAATGACAGAAATCCATATTTACTGTTTTTTAATTCGGTCGGTACACGACTCCATTTTTTTAAGTTCTTAACATTTTTTTTCAGATCTGTTCAAAATCCACAAAATATAAACACGGAATCGATATCTACAACTAGACCACCACCGGTAAATAACCGGCCAATAGCTGTTACGCGCCCACCACCGACTGTTGTTACTCTAACGACCCAAGCTCCTGTTCAATTGACTACCACCAAACCGCCAATACTTACCTCTGGTACCAACAACATTTTTGATGAAGGAGGTAAATAAAATACATCATTGCAATTAACACGATTTTTCACTTAGTTAAAATTTAATGGTTTGGTAAAAAAACATTCCAAAACATAAAAACCATTTATTGTTTAGACTTGAAAGTCACATAGTGTAGACTACAATGTATAGAGGTATTTTTTAACGTACAATGACAATTAAATATCGTGCATGCGAAGGAAAACGTACACTAATATACAATACTAAGTACCATTTGGTTGTGTTGCCACCGTTAACCTCTTTCAAATTTGACACGGTATTGCCAATCACGTTTTTCTGGTTCGTAAAAGGCGGTATCTTTACAAGATGTTACCGGTTTTGCTTAGGCGTTAATTGTTCACAATTTTTGGGTTTTACAATTATATTATAATTGAAATTCCGTTGGAAATTAGATAACTGATGAAATTTAGCATAAATAATATACATTAAACAGTCTACTTTGGAATTAATGCATATAAATATTGGAATCACTGAATGTATACTAAATTTTATTGAACTGATTTTGGAATCAATTATACTCAATAAAATATAATATTAACCTATGTTATCTCTTATCATAGAATGTGGGCGACCGGAAGTGCCAAAATACCGAGTTGTCGGTGGAGACGAAGCTTTACCCGGGCGATGGCCATGGATGGCTGCTATATTTTTGCACGGGACTAGAAGAACAGAATTTTGGTGTGGAGGTTCCCTCATAGGTCCCAGGCATATCCTTACAGCTGCTCATTGTACAAGAGACAATAGACAATTACCGTGATTATAATAATGATGGAGTACTTATTATTTATTTTATAACATAATTTTATGTTTATTAGATTTAATGCCAGACAATTTACTGTGAGATTGGGCGACGTAGATCTTCGAAGGGACGATGAACCTTCATCCCCCGAAACATATCACGTGGTCGAAGTAAGGGGACATAAAAAGTTCTCAAGGGTAGGATTTTACAACGACATTGCTATCCTAGTGTTGGATAGACCAGTGAAACGCAGCAAATACGTTATACCGTTATGTTTGCCACCAAAGAGCGCAAGGTCTGAAACGTTTGTAGGTCAAGTTCCAACTGTCGTAGGATGGGGCACAACGTACTACGGTAATATCCAGAACATTTTAGTAAAAAAATCGATCAATTTTAAACATTTTCGTATTGTCTCAGGTGGTAAAGAAAGTACTGTACAAAGACAAGTGGAACTACCTGTGTGGCATAATAGTGACTGTGATAGAACTTACTTCCAACCGATTAACGAAGACTTTATATGTGCAGGTCTTAAAGAAGGAGGCAAAGATGCTTGTCAGGTAAAATTCAAAATATTGTTTAGATAAATACATTAGTAGTTAGTTTATCGTACATTAATTAACAAATAAAATGTATTGAAATATTACATTTGATTTTAGGGTGATTCTGGAGGTCCACTAATGTTAAAAAAAGATGGTAGATGGATTCAAATCGGTATAGTATCTTTTGGTAATAAATGCGGTGAGCCTGGATATCCCGGTGTGTATACAAGAGTTTCTCGATACATAGACTGGATCAACGAGAATGTTATATAGTTACCTTCAACTTTACATCTGTTCAGAAGTAAAGTAGGAGCAAAATTTAAAGATCGTTACAATAAGTCGTGACTCAAAACGTACACATTTTATTGATTATGAGCACATGTGTAATTTTAGCAATATTTGTAATTACCGAAAGATTGTTTTTATATTATTATTTAAAGTGACATCTCAATTTTTTGAAATTATATAGGTCCCATTATTAACATAATTTTTCACTTCTATGCATAATATAATAATAAATAATAAATATTATATGTATATATACCACTGTAAATAAAAATTATTTATAAAGAAAACATAATATTATACGTCAAACTATAATAGCTAATTGTTGCATTGATATTATAATTTGTAATAATAATTTATTGATGATTTTGAATGGTAAGCAAGACTATTAGGCTTTTAAGTATCATATATTAGATATAATATTACATTTTTTTATTTTCAATTGTAAAATATTATATATTATTATATAATTATTATTTAAAGTGAAAGGATCTAAATTAACTAAATAATTTTGGTTCACCAAAACGCATGTATAAATTTTATTAAATATTATGTTAGGATAATGCTATTTTTTGTAAATTATAATAAATTATGTACTAAATACAATAATTTTTTTACAATAGTTTTATTTGTGAATAACGTTTTTTTTAATACAAAGTATTGAAGAATAAATATTAAATATTTCAGAATAAAATGTAGAAATTAATATACAAAGACCTCGCTAAATTTTGTTTAATAAATAATTATTATACTGAAATATTCCTTTTGTTGAATATTTTTTAAATTAAATTAAACTCTTTTTTTTTTTTTTATACACAAAAAAAAATAGTTTATCAGTTATAATCTGGCGAGTCCGAAATTCTACTTTTGTATATTATTATTAAAATCAATTATTAATTATTATAATCTAAAATTTTATTAATTTCTCTAAATCTATAATTCGATCATTAAAAAGAAATGGCTCAATGAAATTACGAGAATATATTATAATACATTTAAATAGTGTAAATCAGTACAAATTAAAAAAAAAAATTTGTGGCGTAATAATATTATATTTTATACTCTAGGTGTTCATTTTTTATATACTTGAATTTTTCCATGAAGAATAATCACATTAAAACAATAATTTAATCAAAATACACGTTACATTTAATTACTTAAATATTTGTAAAATGCTTATTGCTGCTAAATCATTGTAAACTCTTAGAACGTATCTACGATAAACCATTTTTACATTTAATAAACTTATACTTTCAGGGATAGAATTTTATTTTAATACCAGTAAAAGATTTGTATAGAATTAATTGTACAAAAGACGTCATCTGACGTCATTTTCATTATGGGTCAATTTAAGAAACAAGAAGGTTATCGACAAGTATGAATAATATTTTATAATTTATACCGAAATATCAATTGATCTTTAACTTTAATTGTGCTGATATTATTTAGTTCAATATTTTCCCTAAAAGAATGAAATTAATTTAAAGTGAAATGAAATTTTATTATAAATTAATAGATTACAAAATGTAGAATAAGTTCAAACATTATATAAATATTTTGATTATTATATGAAATTACTTTTTCATAAAAAATAAGGGCATTCTAGTAAATGTAGGCGCCTAAAAAAAATTAATCACCCACTTTGAAGTTCTTCACATTAAACTAAATACACAGTTGTTTTTGAAAACGTAATCTATTTGTACGTATTTAGCCTATTTTGAAATATTAGTACATTAATGAGCTCCAAAATATGCCTTTGTTAATCATATGGGAAAATAAATATTTCATCAAGACTAATCCAATGCAATGATTACAGAAATAAAAACTTCATTATTATTTTATTACCTTAGTTTAAGCTCGATGCGACGTTAAATTAAATAATTGTATTTAATATTCTTTAACGTATAGGTTGAATGTCATCCTTACTTTAACCAGAAGAACTTAAAAGAATTTTGTTATGAAAAAGAAATTATTCTTACTGCTTATAGTCCACTAGGTTCTTCGGATAACTCATGGAAAATGTCTGATGGTCCCTCATTGTTGGAAAATACAATCATTTTAGACATTGCTGGTAAACACGGTAAAAGTGCCGCTCACGTTTTAATTAGATACCAAATTCAAAGAGGAATTATTGTGATCCCAAAGTCAGTGACGAAACATAAAATAGAATCTAATTTTTACGTATGGGATTTTGAACTTGACAAAGATGAATTTGGTCCAAATTGAGGAAATTGATTGTAATTGTCGTTATGTACAACTCAAAGGGAAATTATTTCAGTAAAATCTTAGCATTATTAATTAATATAATAACAATATAGAATCTTTTTTTTTTTAGGAATATGCATTTAAGGATTATCCATTTAATGATGAGTATTAATTTTTTTTTAAGATTAGTAAAGAATAGATATAAATATATGATTATACAGGAACATATCTACGAATATTGCCACCCTAATGACCATTTTTTATGTTAATTAAAAAGATTTTTCTCAATTTTTTATACATAGTTATTTTAGCTGAGAAAATATTGATGTTACCATAATATGTTTTTTTTAAATATATGTCCACGAAAATTCTCAAATCCTACTGGACCAACTTAAATAATTAACACGCCAAAAGAACTAAATTTTAATCTATTTGAACCTTTTATTGTCAAAGTTTAAAAAACCTCTTAGTTTGAAAAAAATTAGAAAAATACCTCAAAATTACAATATTGTAAAAAATGGCATTTTTCAAATTTTTTTTTCTGCATTTAAAAAGGCCTCTAGATGCGGCCTTGGGTTTATACATATTATTTTATGTGCTTAATTTTCTGCAATTAAAAAATTATGTTGCAAATTAATAGTAAGCACTATAGAATTTGAAATATCTTAGTAATTTGACTAAAAATATCATAGACAGATAAACAAATGTGTGAATGTCTATGAAGTATTATAATTAAGTATCACAAAAATTATGTCATTAATAAAGTACATTACTTTATAAAAGTTTTTATTTTTATTTTTCCATAATATTCATTTTTAATACTCAAAATTTTATATAAGAGGTTTGCCCTTTACTTTTGTACGTAGCTCTATAGTCGAGGGGATTAGATTTTATGGGGATGCTAAAAATTATTTTTTGGAGGAGGAAAATAATTTTTATATAACAATGAACATAATTTCGCTAAATTTATGCAAGGGCTTAGTCTTCTAGTTTCCCACCTTACTCCTATGTTTGTCCAGTAATTTCATGTGCTAGTACCTGCATGTGTTAATCAGGTTTGTTCATAACATGATTTTAAAAAAAAACGTGTCTAAAACATAGTTGAACCGTTTAAAATGTCCCATAAAATCAATATAAATTTTAACTATTTGGTGTTTTAAACTCCGCGTGTTTAAAATGTAATAACGTTGGTATTAATAATTTCTACCTTTGTTTAAGGTTTTAAAACTTTGTTTTTGCTAGTTTGAAACTGAACATTCATAATTTTAATTGATTTTACTTAAAAGCTTAGAGTTTTGGCTACACTGAATTTGACCTCAAATATGATTGTTCTCTCTAGCTAGATAACGATTACATTTTAGTTATGTGTTTGACCCGTCATTGTGATGATTTGAATTATTAGCTTTTAACAGTCACATTACAACAGAATACTTTCAAGCGTTGTGTTGCTATGCCTGTTGCATGTTAAAACAGTTTAGCACTAATACTCTACTAAAAAGTTGTATACCTACATTTTGAAGAACAATTATTATCTGTACTTAATCATTTTATTTTTAAATGGCTTCAAAAAATCAATTAGTTACATTTAACAATGGTCAAAAATATCCAATCGTAGGATATGGGACTTGGAAGGTAATTTTAATTTAAATTAATTAACTTGCTATTTATAGTTGACTTATAAACTAATACAAATTATAGCTTTAACTACCAATTAAAAGATGCCACTACATTACACATGATTTTATCATTTATTAATAATTCCCTTGACAATTGCCTTACAAATATTTTAATATTATTGTCATAGCGATGTATAATTTTATTTTGAAATATTAAAAACTTAAATTAAATTTGTTTTCAAATTAAAAATTATTTTTCACATAAATTAATCTATAAGACTTTCAACATAAATCAGTGTTATAAGAATTGTAAAAATATTGTGATTATTTCATTGTTTTATACAAAGGCAATGTGTGAATTTAATTTTTTTTAATATAAAAAACTAATTTAAAAAAAGTATTTGTAATATTATAACAATGAATATTTTTACAAATGAACTAATTACTGTTAAGAAAATTTATAATAATTGTATTTAGTAGTGTAGCTATAGAGGGGATAAAGAGGCTATAGCTTCTCTCCCATTAGGACAGTATATGACTTTGATGATTGTAAGAGTTAAAAAAGTCCTTAATTTCTCACAAGCAATAATCCAGTGTATAACATTTAATTTATTTATATTAAATTATCAAATACACGTAAAAATAGATTGTAGGTTTAGTAATTTTATCTTCTTAATTAGATCTTCAATTTATTATTATTTGCTATTAAATATGTATGCATTTTTATTTTTTATATATCTAGTCTAAATCTGGTGAAGTTGAAAATGGCGTTAAAGCTGCAATTGATGCTGGCTACAGACATANTCTGGTGAAGTTGAAAATGGTGTTAAAGCTGCAATTGATGCTGGCTACAGACATATTGATTGTGCCTTAGTTTATGGAAATGAAAAAGAAGTAGGACATGCTTTACAGCAGAAGTTCAAGGAAGGTATTGTTAAACGAGAAGATCTATACATTACTAGCAAAGTAAGTAGTGTTATTTTTATTGTTGTAAATAACTATCCAAACTTAAAATTATTATGTTATGGATAACATTCTATTCATTACCAATTTAGTTGTGGAACACATTTCATCAACCTGATTATGTTAAAACAGCCTTGAAAAGAACTTTACAAGATCTACAAGTCAGTTATTTAGACCTATACCTAATTCATTGGCCAATGGCATTTAAAGTAATATTTTAAAAAATACTTACATTAAATTTCTTAAAGTATAGTTTTAAAATATGTTAATTATTTTAAGGAAGGCACATTAGAAGATACCTTGTTTCCGAAAGATGAAAATGATAAAGTGATTGAAGGTACAACTTCATATGTAGAAACATGGAAAGAATTAGAAAAATTAGTAGAAGAAGGTTTATTAAAATCCATTGGATTGTCAAATTTTAATAAGAGACAAATTGAAGATATTCTGAGAATTGCTAAAATTAAACCTGTTACAAATCAAGTAAATGATTATCCAATTTTTATGAATTGTATTAGAAGTACTATTACACAAATCACAAAATATGTTTAGGTTGAATGCCATCCATACTTAAACCAAAAGAAATTAAAAGAATTTTGTGAATCCCATGGTATATATTTAACAGCTTACAGTCCTCTTGGATCTCCAGATAGACCTTGGGCTAAACCAGATGATCCTTCACTTATGGATGATCCAAAAATTATTGCAATTGCCAACAAATATAAAAAAAGTCCAGCCCAAATTCTCATTAGGTATCAGGTTCAAAGAGGAGTTATAGTTATTCCAAAATCTGTGACTAAAAGTCGTATTGAATCAAACTTTGACATTTGGGATTTTATGTTAGAACAAACAGATATGGACTTAATTGATACATTTAATTGTAATGGTCGTGTTTGCCATTTAATATGGTAAAGTAGTAATATTTTAATAGTTATCAATTATATTACTGAGAGTAATATTAATTATAATTAACGTTTTAGGAATAAACATATGAAGGATTATCCATTCAATGATGAATTTTAAGTGCACTGCATTCGTCAAATGTATTTATATAGTTTTTTGAAGATTTATATCACAAATTTCTTAAATACTTTATTGTTATTGTGTAATACTTAATATTAAATGATTTTTTCATTGTAAAAATTATACTATTGAAAAGTTGTTTGATTCTAAAATGTATGTGTATTTTTCTTTTAAAGCAATGAGAATTTTAATTGGTCAATAAAAATTTTTAAGATGAATATACAATTAGAATGGGCGAAATATGAATTATTTAGTACAAGCTTAATCCATCTATGCTACATACCCACACTATGTATTTAATACTCATAAATTAATGAGTACTTATCCTAAATATATTATCAAACCGTCAAAAGAAAAGTATTTAAAAATAAAAAGAACATTTTTGTCATATTAGAAACAAATTATAAAAAAATAAGCAAATATTAATGTATTCTAAAATATATTACTAAAAAAAAAGGTTAAAATATTTTCTGTAGCTAAAATGTCTGAACATGATAGGACACCTATATACATTTAAAAATTCTTTTTAAAACCTGATATTAAATATTTTTTAATTGACACATTCAATAACTTTTTGAAAAATCGAACAGACGATTAAAAAGTAAACATAATTTTTATAAAATTCTTCTGAAAAAGATAACTTTTCATCTTAATATTAGCTTCGATGCGAAGCTAAGAAGGTATTAATTTTATTATGTTTTTTTTTTGTACCTGGACGCTCAATTTCAGCTCTTGCTGGACCGATTTTAATGAACAATACGTCAAAAGATCACAAATCGTATCTAGTTGAAGACATTACCCTCAAAAATTGAAAAATTTCCCTCGTTCCCCGTAAATGGGGGAAACCTCCAAAAAAATTACAAATTTAAAAGTCGCTAATTTTCGAAATTTTTTTTAATAAAAACTGCCGTAACTTTTTCAAAAATGAACATATTAATATAATTTTTTTTTGTTGTAAATTTGACCCTCTATCTGCCCACAAAGGGAATTTAAAATGACAACTTTTTCACAAAAAATTAACTTTTGAAAATATTCCGGAAGGTCTGACACTTTTATATATATCTTAAAATAAAGCTAATGTAATATACTTTAATTTGAAAAAAAAAAATTGACCTCTGGACTTGTCTTCATGGTGAAAATGGCTACCGAATGCTATTTTTGTGTGAAAATTTTCGATTTTGTATTTTATATTTTTAACTTTATAATGCTATAACTTATTGAAAAGTATATGGATCAACACAATTTTTTTGTGAGAAATAATATTTTTTAATAATCCCCTTTTCATTCGACATACTTTATCTTAATCAAAATATTAATAAAGAACTAGCAGATCATGTAGCTTTTGGAATAATACACCAATTTTTTTAAAATTAAACACAATCTAAAGATTTGCATCGAAGTGTTTATTTTTGATAGTGATTTTAATCACTGTCAGATATCATTATACTTGATCCAACTATACCATGTCACAACTGTGCCGCGACCCCCTTGTGCTGGGTTTTGTTTTTTTACTTAAAACTACCATAACTTTTAAAAATGACCGAATCAATAAAAACATTTTTTTTATAGATACCTTAGGTATTTAACCAAACCTACCTTATGATTTATTATTGTGAACATTTAACCCCTTACTAGCCCACAGGAAAGGGTTTCAAAATGGCAACTTTTTCAACTTAACTTTTGAAAATGTTCCGGAAAGACTGACACATTTATATATACCTTAAATTAAAGTTTATGTAATATACTTTAATTTGAAAAAAAAAAATTTTACCTCTGAATTTGTCTTCAAAAATGACTACCGTATTTAAAAATATGCTATTTTTGTGTTAAAAATTCTAAGTTTTTTAATTTATTTTATTTTAAAATATCTGACAAGGGGAGTACACTGATTTTCATAAATATTATATAAATCAAATTGATATAGCATAGAAAGCTAAATTTATTTAAATTTTTTTGCTTTTTTTAAGTAGAGAAAAATAACATTGAAATTCAAACTAGCTTAAATTGCCATTTTTTTCAACCGAGGGAAACGACGTACGACGTGTTTTATTTTAAAATTTGTTGGGGTACAAAGTTCCAATCCACGTATGGCAAGGAATTTTTTGCATTTTTTCCTTAATTCTTTTTAAGTTAAATTTAAGTTAAGAATAAATTTGATTTTTATCAAATTTCAAGAAGAAATTTCTTATTCATATTAAAATTATTTTACAATATTTAAGGTTTTAGCTTCGATGCAAAGCTGATAAGTTATTTTTTTGTGGCTCATTTATTTTCTCTGCTCTAACCTAATTTTTTCAACGGTACGTCAAATGATTACAATTTGTATCTAATTGAAGATATTACTCTCAAAAATTGAAAAAAAATTCTAATTTATCAATTAAACAGTTAGTTATTCCATGTTCTCCATAAAGACAATTAAAATCATTTATTTATAATGTTTTCAGTGGCGTAAATAACACCCCCGCGATTCGGGGGGGGGGGCGCCAAATTACGAATGCTCAATACCTTATTAATAATTAACATGATTGAAAGCATAGTAAAATTTAGTAAAGGGGCGCCGTCGAAAATTCTGCGGGGGGGGGGCGCTTGCTTAGTGACGACACTGAATGTTTTCAAAGTATTTATTGACGAATTAAGTTCGGATATGAAAGGTTTCAATTACAAAATTAAATCATTTTACTTTGTAATTTAATAATTTTTTTACTCTATTTGTGTGTGCTACTACTAGTCTATAATATTACAAATATTTTGGTAATATATTGCTATATAAATCATTTCTAAAAAAAATGATTGTTAANTCTATAATATTACAAATATTTTGGTAATATATTGCTATATAAATCATTTCTAAAAAAAATGATTGTTAATTTCTCCTGAATTAACAACGGATTTTTAGATCTTTTTAACAACTTTTTTTTTATTAGTCATTTTAGTTTAAGTAAATCATTAAAATTAATTCAGGTCATATTTCAATTGTAGAATCATTTTAAACACTAATAG